TAATAATAATAATAACAATAATAATAACATTTTTTTTTACCTCAACCAATCAGCACCCAGGCAAAACGTACCAAGTTCCCAATATAGGGTGAGATGACGGATCCCACACGTCCCATGAAAGAACACACTCCTATTCCAGTATTACGAGCCAGCGTTGGCAGCAACTCCGCACTGAATATGTACACGATAGCGAAGCAAGCCGTAGTGCCAAACTTGCCAATATTGGATAAAACAACATTTATCCACGCTGCCTCTGTCAGATCAAGAAAAAATTAGATATTTCTCAAACTGAACTTATAGTTTTAGTAAGACTAAGACACATAATTAGGCCATTTATCATAAGTGCCAGAAATTAGAAGTGCTACAAGAAAATATTTCATAAAAAATGAGGAAAGATAAGGAACGAGAGATGTTTGAAGGTAAAGCAGGAGCAAACCACACCAGAGTAGGCCTACCCGTCATAGATGTTTGACAGTAAAGAAGAAGCAAACCACACCAGAGCACCAGCCAACCACCCTCCAAACCGAACTCTGCAATGCAATGCAATTTCAAGCTGTAGTAGTAAATGAATAAGCTATTAAATCCATTCGTCTGAATCAATATTATTGTTGCCGACCCGGCAGCATCGTATAATCGCTACCTTGGAATTACAAAGTTCTGTCTGACAATTTGGCCGTTTTAAGTTACTAAGACCATGAGGTCAGGAACCAAACTAATCTGTTCTTTCAGAATCGTAAGATTATTCGGAGTCGTTATCAAGATATTCAAAGAACTGCATTCGAAAAAGCTTGACATAATTATTGTGGAACTCACCATTTTTGACGTCAAACTATTTCTCAAAAGTAGGTACTGAGCAGACAGAACGTTGTAATTCTGAGGTAGCGTAATACTGGGCGATCTTCAAGTTTGGTTGGCAGTAGAGATCACCCAAGGGGCTCTCGTGGCCTAGAGGTTAAGGTGTTGGCCTCTCATTCAAAGGTCCCGGGTTCGAATCCGGGTAGCGACCGAAAAATTTTCTTCTCTAAAATTGTCTCCTTTCACCTCCTTTCCTGCTTTCTAGCAATATTCTGTCTTCTGCTTTCGTCTCCTCTTTCTGCCCCCACCCCCTCACCTCCTTTGCCCCCTCCTCTGGGTTTCTGACTCTTTCTGCAGCCTTTCTACTGCTACTCCTTGACTTCTTCTTACAGCTGTCTTTCTGCCACACCCCTGATCTTCTGGTAGGAAAGATCTACACCTAGCCTTCTCGGACAAGGGCGAAAAATCTCGGAGGGCCCGTGTGCAAGTTGCGCCCGTTAAAGATCCCTTGGTGGTCTAAAATCGATAAGAGTAGGCTTCGGCCGCGTCCCGGGCAAAATTCAAAATTTCCTACCAACGAAAAAGTATTAAGTGTGTCCCGCGCGCTCATATGACATTAAGCAGTTGAGAGCGCCGTAAAACACTTACCAAAAAAAAAAAAAAAAAAGAGATCACCCAGGTGCTGACAGGTGTAATTTAATTATTGTACGGCTTGGAAATATATATACGTGTGGGTGGGCGGTGTGCGAACTTTAACCTCTTTAATTAAATATATCAAAACTAGACACTGGGTAAAATACGGTTGATAAGCACAGCTGATCATGACAATAATATTAGAGATAACCGGCACAAAGGAATGAATGGCAGCGGCGTCTGTGACGTAGTGGTAAAGTACTTTACTATTGCATGCAAGGGACCCGAGTTCGATTCTAGGGCTGGGAAAATTTTTATCCAGTATACATTGTATCATGTATCTCGGCCTTTCTGCTGGGATATTTTATTCCTCTCAGCACGCTTTTGCCTTGACAGGCAGAGTCCGAAGCCTGCGTCCAAAATGATCTAAACCATGCCGATGAGAGCGAATAAACATCTGCATTAATTAATTAAAAGGAAATGAATAGGGAACCATGATCCCCGATGTGTGTCGCAGATCTGGCACGCTTTGATGATGATTAGGCCACTTACTGCTGTCGACAAGTATAGGGATCATTGTCCCCAAGCACGACAACCCACTGACGATAAGGCAGGTACAGTACACTTTCTTCCTCCCAAGTTTATCCAGGGTCACCGTGCATAAAGCGTAGGCAAATAGCTCCATGACTGACATGATGAAGAAGTTGACGTACAGATCTCCTTCAATGATCGCTCCAACGTTTAGCGTCAGCCCGTAATAAACCATGGTGCACACACACCTGCAGAGAGGGAGCGAAATAAATACATTTTTAATTCTTTCAAGATTCACGATGTGGGAATAAAAAGATTAGGATGATAAATTTGAGCGATTGCTCAGACTCATTTCTTTAATTCTTAGCTATAGTGGGTTAAGTACTGACATACTTTGTTTTTACTGCTGTCCTTTCGTATAATTATTGCATGGTTGTGAAAGTTCTTCTTCACGTGGATGAACATTTTGTTGTTGTTGCTGCTGTTGTTGTTGTGTTGGTTTTTTTTTAGTGTTTTACGGCGCTCGCAACTGCATGAGGTCATATTATGAGCGCGCTGGACACAGCTGGACACACCAAATATTTTCAGTCGGTAGGAACATTTTGAATTTTGCACGGATGGCGGCCGAAGCTACTCTTATCAATTTTTTGACCACCCAAGGATCTTTAACGTGCGCAACTTACACACGGGACTTCCGAGTTTTTTCGCCCTTGTCCGAGAAGGCTAGGTGTAGATCTTAACAACCTTAAGATCAGGGGTGTGGCTGAAAGATAGCTGTAAGAAGGAGCTACGGAAAATCTGTAGAAAGGCTGCAGAAAGAGTCAGGAGCCCAGAGGAGGGGCAAAGGAGGTGACGGGGTGAGGGGCAAAAAGTGGAGACGAAAGCAGACGACAGAACATTGTCAGAGAGCAGGAAAAGATGTGAAAGGAGACAATTTTAGAGAAGAGAATCTTCCGTCGCTACCCAGATTCGAACCTGGGAAAATTATAATTTTTGTTTCTGTGAAATATTTTTCTCTTGTGTGAATTACTAGCTCAATGATCATGTGATTATTTAAAGCGCTGAGAGCGTATACTAGTATGGGATAGAGCGCTATATAAATGCAATCTATTATCATTATAAATGTCGAGGTCAGCTTGAACCGAACATAGTTAATCCAAGAACAGCAGTAAACCGAAGGAAAATGAAAATCACGTTGTTGTTTTATACTTCGCTATTGGAGCCCTCTTTTTACGCTGAAAACACGACTAAACCGAAGAAAACACTAGTCTACAGTCACGCAGATTTCGGAATGAGCATAATATAATATTCCACGGCACAAGCTTTCTCTCTCTCTCTCTCTCTCTCTCTCTCTCTCTCTCTCTCTCTCTCTCTCTCCTCTCTCTCTCTCTCTCTCTCTCTCTCTCTCTCTTTCTCTTTCTTTCTCTCTCTCTCTCTCTCTCTCTCGCTGTCTTTATGCATCTCTCTCACTCTCTTTATTTCATTTCTCACTCTCTGTATCTTTATTTCTCTTTCTTTCCATCTATTGTCACCACATCTTTCTCTTTCTTCTTTTTCTCCTTATCTGTTTCTTTCCGTCTCTTTATTTCTGCCCTTTTCTCACCCTCTTGTTTAATCTCTCACTCTCTCTCCCTTTCCCGAGCAATCTCTGTACCTCTACGTCTTCCCACCCCCACCGTCACCCCTCCTTTTCTCTCTGTAAATAACAAAATTCATGTATTATTATAATATACTACTGAACATCGAACGGTGGGTAAGAACAGATGATAATGCTAGCGTTAAAAACGAAAATTTTACAGATTAGCAAAAACTTACCAGTTTACACAGAGTATGGCAAGCCGAATTACCATTGTTCGTGATTTCAAAAGCAGTCCAAAATTCTCCTCTTGAACGTTTGTTTTCCCTTCCTCAGCACTCTGCTCGCATAGAGCTACAAGCATCTTGTCGTCCACCTCACTCGCCTTGTTCACTTCGGCGATCTTCTTCAGCACTTTGCTGGCTTCAGTATAGCGTTGTTTGTCCAGAAGCCACCGGGGAGATTCTGGTAGTATCCTGTGGACATTTCACGTCACTGCCATAACTCCAAATCAGCGCCTCAAATCGTCATTAATTGCCTAAAGTGCGGTAAAAAAAAAGCGTGGCGCAACTTATCCTCATAAATTTTTAACAGATGAATCAGCCACCACCACTTTGCACAGCAGCCTGCATTAGTTTGCCTTAACGTAATCGTATTTTTCTAAAACAAATAAGCTAAATTAAAAAAAAAAAAATTTCATAATTTTTTCTAAAATAGTATATATCTCCATTATGCGGAAAATGGGATTGTTCACAACACCTCCCGCTTCTCACTCACATTTTGCATACGCATGCGGCCTACGTCACAGCTCATCAATGACACTGTTTATTGGTAAAACCTGTTACAAGAAATTAATTATATAGTGAGCACATTTTTAAGCGCTAAAAGTTTTCGTTACATGCATTCAATAGAGATAGTGTCCCCATTAGATTTAAAAAATGACATACTTGTTTTTAAAAGCGATATTTCCCTAGCTGTAAACCTTTTAAAATCTGTAGACACCACCCACTAGGATTTTTTATGAGTATTTATCAAAGATTTTTCTAGAATACAGCTAGCAGGTCAGTTTTTTACAAAAGTTTAAATATTGACCTGTTAAGACAAATTGACACAAGTCAAAAGCTGGAAAGTCTATGTTAGATAGTTTAGGAAATATTAAAGTTTGACAATAAGTTGCGTCATGAATTTTTGACTGCAGTATAAGTCATTTTTTGGCGTGTTTGGAGGTTTTGGTTCTGAATTGTAGAGCAAGACCAGTTTGGATATACGGTTTATTTGGACAAAAGAATAATCCTAAATATAAAATAAATCGAGTGTACAAAAAGTCAAGTGTTTCAGAGAGTTAGTTGTCCGAAAGAAACAGTTCTAAAAAATCGTTTTCTCAAAATGGCTAAAAATAACTTAGATCTACGCACTTATCTTCTGAGCTTGATGAAATATTATGTTCAGTCGAACCTGCTCTAACGGCCACATTTATAAAACAATCACCTGTACAAACAGCCACTTACTTTTCCTCCCTTGGGCATTTTTTAAACATCGTAATTATACTGTGTAAGACGTTTACCAGTTTAAGACTACCACTTTTCTTCTCGATAAAAAGAGGTCGTCATAAAAACAATTTCTCCTGTTCTTTAACGCTGGTAATTTTGTGATTAGGCTGTCGAGGTCACAACCGGAAGGTCTTAGGTTCGATCCCTGTTAGGGGCCCGACATTGTGTCCTTGCGAAAGGCTCGTTACAAGAACTTGCCTCTATTCACCCAGGTGAGAATATGTACTTTGTAACGGTTAGCGAAAAATCTTGTCAGTTTGAAATCTAGTGGTTGAAGGCCTGATCGGTTGCCCGCACTGTGTGCTTCGAGGGAAACCGATAATAATTCTGGGTGTTCTATGGTCTGCTGAGGTAATACTAGTTGTAAAACGCTTAGAGCATACGGTAGAACATGGACATGAGTTATATAAATGCTACTTTAACAACCACAATAATAATAATAATAATAATAAT